TCAGGTTGGACTTTTTGTTCCGCCCAGTGGTAAATATTTATGATGTTTATGTTTCGGTTATTTAATGTGATTTTAATGCCGTTGGCTTCTAGGTTTGGCGTGTCTATTTTTATTTCTTCGTAATTTATATCTTCCCTGATAAATATGATTAGTCCTCCTGTGGCTCTTCTTGTTTTCGGTTTAGCTCTGTCAGTTCTAACTGAGTTGTAGTTAGGTAGTGTGAATTTGGATTTTTTTGAGAATTTGGTTTCCTGTATACAAGCAATGTGAGGGCCTTTATTTAGTTTAAATTTAGTTTTTAGTTCATGGCCGTGGGAGGTGAGTCCGTTGGCGTTCCACTGAAAAATATTTAGTCCTTCGAATATTGGGTTCGGGTGATTGGTGATTTATTTTTTATTTTTTATTTTATTCGGTGAGTTCTTTTAGATGGAGGTTAAAGAGGAAGAAGGGAAGATCGGTTAATTTTAGATTGAAAGCTACTTTGTAGAAGGATTTCATGCTAGCTTTTGGTGAGTTTTGACTATGCATGTATGCTAGGAGTAAGGTGAGGTTGTTTAGGTTTTGGGTGTTGGCTGGTTGGGGAGTTTGGTTTGTTTTAGTTGGAGTAGTGTCTATTGTTTCCTCAGTAGTGGAGAAATCTTCGTCATCGGTTAGATTAGGTTTAGCTGATTGAGTTTCCATGGGGGAGGCATGTGATGTGGAGGATTGTGAAGGTGTTTGTGGGATGGGTGTAGCTGATGATTTCATAGTGTTTGTGTTTTGTTGTTGTGCTTGCTTGTGGGAGAGCGTTGTTACCATATTGGCTGTAGGGTGCTTGGATGAGGGTCGTGTTGTGGTGGTCATTTTGAGGTTTGTTTTGCATGCGGGGGTTGATGTTTTGGCTATGTGAGATGTGGGAGGGTTCGTGGTTGGTTGAGTGGCTGCTTGTATGTGTGAGGTGGGTGCGGTTTCTCGGTAGGGGCCCCAGACAGAGCTGTCGGTTATGGGTGTGGTGTTTGTTTGTGGGATGGTGTTTGGGTGTGGTGTAGGGAGGAGTGGTTTAGATGCAGGTGTAGCAAATTTTCGTGTTTGGATTTTAGCCGTGTCTATGTTTATGTGTTTGTTGGCCTGCTGGGTGAGTGTGTGTCTGTATGGGCATTGGTTTGAGAGTGAAGTGTGTTGGGTGGATTTGCAGTGGATGCACCAGGGTGTGCATGTGCCTGGGCAGTCTGTTTGTGCGCATTTTTTACATTTAGTTTTACGGTATGTGCATTGGGAGGCAGTGTGGTTGTATTTGAGGCACTTTGTACATTGCTTAACCTGCTTTAAGCTTTTAGGGCTAAACAACATAGGTATATATACACTTATTGACATCTAAGTTGTTACAGTGACTAGTGATGGGCACAGAGAGGTGACTAAGCTAATTGGAAGCCAGTGGATGACTGATGAACACAGAGTATACTAGCAGAGTAAACAAGCTAACTGATGGAGATGATGGAAGCCACTGTATTAATTGGATGGACAAAGGGATTGAGCAATTAGGTGATGGTAAGCAGGCGGGATGTAATAGCCTTGGTCTCTGTTCATTGCTGGCTGGATCCTTTTGATGTGGATGGCTTCTAGGAGTTTCCTGATTTTGTAGCCTGATTGGTTGTTGGCCAGGATCTTGATGTTGTTCCACTGGATGTTGTGATCGGGGTGGGTTTGGGTGTGGTCGGAGATGGCTGATTTTGAGTCATTTTTTTGTACTGAGGTCTTGTGTTCTTTTATTCTAATGGGTAGGGGCCTGGATGTTTCTCCTACATAGGAGTCGCCACAGTCACATTGTATGTGATATACGGCTCCAGCTGGGTCTTCTTTCTTAGATGTAGGGGGCTTGCCATTGGCGCTGAGGATGTTCTGGATTGTCCTGCCTCTCTGGAATACTGAATCAAGCCCCCTACATCTAAGAAAGAAGACCCAGCTGGAGCCGTATATCACATACAATGTGACTGTGGCGACTCCTATGTAGGAGAAACATCCAGGCCCCTACCCATTAGAATAAAAGAACACAAGACCTCAGTACAAAAAAATGACTCAAAATCAGCCATCTCCGACCACACCCCAAACCCACCCCGATCACAACATCCAGTGGAACAACATCAAGATCCTGGCCAACAACCAATCAGACTACAAAATCAGGAAACTCCTAGAAGCCATCCACATCAAAAGGATCCAGCCAGCAATGAACAGAGACCAAGGCTATTACATCCCGCCTGCTTACCATCACCTAATTGCCCAATCCCTTTGTCCATCCAATTAATACAGTGGCTTCCATCATCTCCATCAGTTAGCTTGTTTACTCTGCTAGTATACTCTGTGTTCATCAGTCATCCACTGGCTTCCAATTAGCTTAGTCACCTCTCTGTGCCCATCACTAGTCACTGTAACAACTTAGATGTCAATAAGTGTATATATACCTATGTTGTTTAGCCCTATCCATCACTTGCTTGATAAAGGTGTTAGGATCTACACCGAAACGTCGCACCAATTGTAAAAAAGAAGTTGTTCATCCATAGAACTCGTCTTACTTTAATTTTGATGTGGTTATTATGATGTCATGTTTAGTTTGCCACTAATATGGTTATATCCCCCGCCCCTGTTGCAGAATTTATGACATAATTAAATCTAAACAAACCCTAACCTTTTTTAACCGAGGTGGAACTTGTCATGGAAATTGTAATAAAAGAAGAGTTTGGAACCTAAGTCCATCTTGCTGCCATGGAAATGTAAAAAAATAGAAATTTCTAAAAAGCAAAAAGCACCAGTTCAGCATGTACCTGACAGACCTGCCAAGTTTGATGAAAAAATATTGAATGGTTTATGAGTTATGCTCTGGAAACGAACCCTACCCTCACAGAACCTAAGTCCATCTTGTTGCCATGGAAACGTAAAAAATATAAATTTCTAAGATTTCTAAATAGCAAAAGGCACCAGTTCAGCATGTACCTGACAGACCTGCAAAGTTTGATGAAAAAATATTGAACAGTTTATGAGTTATGCTCCGGAAACGAAACTTGACGGACGTATGACGTACATATGGACGGACGGACGGAGCCTGTTTCTATATCCTCCGCCAACTTTGTTGGGTGGGGGATAAAAACAATTTCACGCCACTGCATGGGAACCAATAATGTAGAATGTTTCAACGTAATAATATTGAAGACGAATACCATGTCCTTCTTATCTGTACACATAATAGAGATCTAAGGAATCATTATATTCCATCTAAATATACGTCCTGCCCATCAATTTATAAATCTTGTATACAAAATGTCAACAGAAAATGACCAGCTTCTACAGAATTTGGCTAAGTTTATACACCATGTACTGTAAAAACCTAAACTTGTATGTACCACAAACCCAATATAATCACTGTACTTGTACTACGGGCCTTTGTTTGATCCACATTTCAGAAAGTAAACAGATTCAGTAAAAAAACACACATGCCATTAAATTATTTCATCTATTTTAAAAAATAAAAATAAAATGATAAAATGTCAATGCCCTTATGGTGATAAAAATCTATGTTGAATTTTATTACATTTGGGGCAGAAGCATCCAGAGAAATGCTGACTCCCCTCATCTGATGATATGCCACTAGTTTTTGCGTATATTTTTAAACTTAAAATTTGTTTTGAAGTTGGATCAGAACCATTTGAAAATTTGGTGTTCAAGGGAAATATTCCCAGCAGTTTCAGAAATATGCTTTTGAGAATAACGATGACATATAAAGGGGCATAAACCTTGTTATCTAAAGCCCATGGAAGGGATATGTCTGCAATAGGGAACCTCATGAATAAACTCACTGTTTAAACATGCTTGTCAGCTTCAACAGATAACTTGGGCAAACACCAGACGAACACAACAAAACTAAGTTAGCTAACAGTCTTCCTTCTGTAGATATGCATGTTAAATTGTATCAGTGGTGAGAACATTCACCTGCAGACACAAGGTTCATGAACAGTGTTCGAAATAACTGCCTGCCCGCTAGCCAAATGCCAGTGACATTTGGATTGGGCTAGAAAAGCTGACCCGGCTGTCTAGTTGAATATTCTTGTCAATACAGTCATGCCCCGCTTTTATGGACTTCAGATATCTGGAAACCTCGGTTCACGGACGATTTTCATTCAAAACAAAATAATTACTATATAAATTTACCCGTATATACGGAAATTCAGTTTCCGGAACCGGATGGTCATTTTCATACACAAAACACTGAAATGCACACGAAATTGACTCACTTACCCGGACAATACACTTCCGCTGGTGGTAATCCTTCCGCTGGTGGTAATCCTTTGATTCGTGAGAAGTCAATTAACCAAGTGACACTGAGTTACGTTTGAGACGAGCTTGTTTATTGTACATGTAATCCCATTCGATAAATATGGCGTCTGTGGAGGTCAGAGGTCAAAGTTGTGACTTCAAACTGTGAGTATGGCCTGTCAACCAGCGAAACGCAAGCGACGCGAAAAAAGGGCAATTTGTCTGTTTAAGGAAAAACACCCGTCAGCAAGTTTGGAAACCATCAGTAAGCATTATGGCACTGAATTTGGACATACCATAGGAAAATCGACAATTGGTGACATTTTAATGACAGATATTTTGAAACGTGTATGTCTTGAATAAAGATTGAGTGGATGTATCTGTTTGCTCTGTCATCTGTCATGAGTTGCATAATTGACGGGAAGTAACTCTTCCAGTAAGAAGCTGGTTTCAGTTATACGGAAATTCCTTTATACGGACGAATTGTGAAATGATGCAAGTGTCCGTATAAACGAGGCACGACTGTACATATTTATTTTTACGAATAATCAAATCAATTAAGGCATCATTTAGTGTCAAAGTCTTTTGTCATTTTGTTTTCATTTCATGGTTTGTTGAAAGTGTTTTGGGCTGGTTAAATATGATGACGGTTTGCAATATTGTTTGTTAACAAGCCAAGCCCTCCTGGCCATGAGTGATGGTGCAAGTGCTCCTACCTCCTCCTTGATGATGCATAACGCTGCCAGTCCATTCAAGGCAGCAATTAATTGTCTGTGAGCCTCTTCACTCTCTAGCTTAGCCTTCCTGGTCAGGGATTCCAACAGTTCCTCCATGGTCATAGTACTGTAAGAAGCAAGTAAACACCAAGTACTATCAAAGTTGGAAGTGCACCACATGTTGAAGAATAATTTGCAGTACGTTTAAGTCAAATCCACCTCATGCTCAAAGGCTGAAGGTTATTTGTAGTGAAATCTTTAGCCACCTTGTAAGTTATCCTGTGTCACATGGTCTGTTGGATGGGAAAGGACAGTATGCTGGTTCTCAGACACCGCTGCATCATCATAAAGTCCACCACATGTTTAATTTTTACTTCCATTTAAAATATTTTTTTTACATCAGTAAATATGTCATGTCACAAACACATGGCCCCAGTAGTGAAATGCTGCAATACTATAATGCAATCCCAAAAAGTGTGCAGTTACTTCCCTTTACATGGGTACTGCTTTCCTGTGCATCCAGTGTTATGGTCAGCAGTTGTAGGAATTTGTGTGCTTGTTTTGCCGTTCACAAATTTGGTCAATGAAAATATGAAATTTGCAATAAAACATCACAAGACGTAATGATTTACAAATTTGATTGTGCTTGTTTACAGTATGCTCATCAATGTTTTATACGCAGAGATAAAGATTTCATGTGTTACTGAAAATTTGACATTAAATGGTATATTTTGTATACTTATCCTATTCCAAACTATGCATGTCTTCTTTCTCCTTTGATCCATATTTGGAAATGTCCTAAATCAAAGTTTCCAGCTTTTAAGACATTTCCCTTGAACACATCCCAACATCACCTCTCAAACAAATTGGTCACACACTGGTATCCTTTTCACTGTGACCCTACCCGGCTTGAATACCTGACTACCCCTGCCACATCATTCTCTGTCCCTGTCTCCTTACCAACATATGGGAATTTGTTTTAGTAGAGAATCGATTTTTTGTATTTTTTTAGGGAGCATTTCTTTCTACAGCTGATCCTCACCATCTGTGTTGTGACTGCTGTAGTTTATGTTAACCAGTTCATCGCTGCTCACAATGTTTCCAGTTAACTGAGGAAGCTTATTAATACATAACTCTATGTAAAGTCCAGAAGTGCATGGTTGATCAACGATCAAAGTCTAGAGACAAGGAACATGGGCCTTCTTCATCAAAGAAACCCAAAAGTGTGACCAAGCCAGCCATTCCCTTTACGATCATCAAAACACCCCCTGTGGCCAACCTCACTTCATTATTTTTGAAGAGGACAGTCTTTTACATGACGATGTTCCCGCCAAAAGCAAATTGGTGACCGACACTTGTGCACCTGTAACTACGATGATGTCTGCTCAACCTACGGTGACAGATATATTGCAAAGCCCTGGCAAAAGACAGCACCAGTGCAGTTGCCACTACTCCTGTGATCAATCCTCCCAGCGCTCCTCGACCCTCACCTGAGAGTCGCCTGTCATCCTCAACTGCTCCAAAAGATAACCTAGTACTGATACAAGAGGCCGTCCCATAACACACCACTGTCTCTCTCCAGACACCTCCTGTAGTATCAACCCTAGCAGAGATCGACACCTCAGGTTGGCCTTCCGCTTCACCTACAGAAAGAACCGCGCACGTGACAAGGATTGACATCAACAGTTAAATGATCACCATTCAAGGGATTGCCATTCGAGGGATTGCCAATCAAGGGATCGCCAATCAATGGACCGACACTCAAGGGATTGACATTCGAGGGAGCGACATTCAAGAGATCAACAAACGAAGGATTGACACTTGATATATCAACTTTCGAGGGATAACATTCAGGTGATTCTAAGGATCTACATTGATCTCAGAAGACTGATAAGTCTCACAACTGTAAACATCAGCAGGAGAATTGACATCGTACTGCTGAAGACAATCACTCTGATTCTGCAGATCAATATCGATCATCAGATCGATTCTTCACGGGATGGCGGAAGCTATGTAGCTCTACAGGCCAATCGGATCACCATCAACATCAGGATCATCTTGATCTTCCGACTCAGACTTACAGCGACATGCCTATCGACAATCATCTATGGATCAACATTTACATAGCAATCATGTAGATATATGAGAAAGAATAAGCTTAAAAATATAATATTAGCCAGAAATAGCAATCAGCTGTTCAGATATTTGTGACTGCTCCACTAATCTATTCCTTGATGGCTGCTTCCCCACATGTGGTTGTCCATGAACATAGAGCCTATGTCCAGAGCCCTGCTACTAACTGAACATAGAACCTATTTCCTGAGTCCTGCTACTAACTGAACATAGAACCTATGCCCTGAGTCATGCTACTAACTGAACATAGAACCTATGTCCTGAGTCATGCAACTAACTGAACATACAACATATGTCCTTAGTCCTGCTACCAACTGAACACAGAACCTATGTCCTGAGTCCTACTACCAACTCATCAGAGAACCTATATTCTGAGTCATGCTACCAACTGAACATAGAACCAATGTCCTGAGTCATGCTACTAACTGAACATAGAACCTATGCCCTGAGTCCTGCTACTAAATGAACATCCAACCTATCTCCTAAGATGCTATTAACTGAATATAGATCCAATGTCCTGAGTCATGCTACTAACTGAACATAGAACATATGTCCTGAGTCATGCTACTAACTGAACATCCAACCTATGTCCTGAGTCCTACTACCAACTCATCATAGAACCTATATTCTGAGTCATGCTACCAACTGAACATAGAACCAATGTCCTGAGTAATGCTACTAACTGAACATAGGACCTTTGTCCTGAGTCATGCTACTAACTGAACATAGGACATATATCCTGAGTCCTGCTACTAACTGAACATAGAACGTATGTCCTTAGTCCTGCTACCAACTGAACACAGAAACTATGTCCTGAGTCTTACTTCCAACTGATCATAGAACCTATATCCTGAGTCATGCTACTAACTGAACATAGAACCTATCTCCTGAGTCATGCTACTAACTGAACATAGAACCTATATCCTGAGTCCTGCTACTAACTGAACATAGAACGTATGTCCTTAGTCCTGCTACCAACTGAACACAGAAACTATGTCCTGAGTCTTACTTCCAACTGATCATAGAACCTATATCCTGAGTCATGCTACTAACTGAACATAGAACCTATCTCCTGAGTCATGCTACTAACTGAACATAGAACCTATATCCTGAGTCCTGCTACTAACTGAACATAGAACGTATGTCCTGAGTCCTACTACCAACTGAACATGGAACCTATTTCCTGAGTCATGCTACTAACTGAACATAGGACATTTGTCCTGAGTCATGCTACTAATTGAACATAGAACCTATCTCCTGAGTCCTGCTACTAACTGAACATAGAACGTATGTCCTTAGTCCTGCTACCAACTGAACACAGAAACTATGTCCTGAGTCCTACTACCAACTCATCATAGAACCTATATTCTGAGTCATGCTAAAAACTGAACATAGAACCATTGTCCTGAGTCATGCTACTAACTGAACATAGAACCTATGTCCTGAGTCATGCTACTAACTGAACATCCAACCTATGTCCTGAGTCATGCCATCACCTGAACATAGAACCAATGTCCTGAGTCATGCTTCTAACTGAACATAGGACCTTTGTCCTGAGTCATGCTACTAACTCAACATAGAACCTTTTTCCTGAGTCCTGCTACTAACTGAACATACAACATATGTCCTTAGTCCTGCTACCAACTGAACACAGAAACTATGTCCTGAGTCTTACTACCAACTGATCATAGAACCTATATCCTGAGTCATGCTACTAACTAAACATAGAACCTATGCCCTGAGTCATGCTATTAACTGAACATCCAACCTATGTCCTGAGCCCTGCTTCTACCTGAACATAGGACCTATGTCCTGAGTCATGCTACTAACTGAACATAGAACCTATTTCCGGAGTCCTGCTACTAACTGAACATAGAACCTATGCCCTGAGTCCTGCTACTAACTGAACATAGAACCTATGCCCTGAGTCATGCTACTAACTGAACATAGAACCTATGTCCTGAGCCCTTCTTCTACCTGAACATAGAACCTATCCCCTGAGTCATGCTAACTGAACATAAGACCTATGTCGTGAGTCATGCTACTAACTGAACATAGAGCCTCTGTCCTGAGCCCTGCTACTAACTGAACATAGAACCTATTTCCTGAGTCCTGCTACTAACTGAACATAGAACCTATGCCCTCAGACATGCTACTAACTGAACATAGAACCTATGCCCTGAGTCATGCTTCTAACTGAACATAGGACCTATATCATGAGTCCTGCTACTAACTGAACATAGAACCTGTGTCCTAAGACATTCTACTTAGTGAACATAGAACCTATGTCCTGAGCCCTGCTACTAACTGAACATAGAACCTATTTCCTGAGTCCTGCTACTAACTGAACATAGAACCTATGCCCTCAGACATGCTACAAACTGAACATAGAACCTATGCCCTGAGTCAAGCTTCTAACTGAACATAGGACCTATATCATGAGTCCTGCTACTAACTGAACATAGAACCTGTGTCCTTAGACATTCTACTTAGTGAACATAGAACCTATGTCCTGAGTCCTGCTACTAACTGAACAGAGAACCTATGTCCTGAGACATGCTACTAACTGAACATAGAACGTATGTCCTGAGCCCTGCTACTAACTGAGCATAGAACCTATGTCCTGAAATCTGCTACTAACTGAACATAAAACCTATGTCCTTTGTCCTGCTACTAACTGAACAGAGAACCTATGTCCTGAGTATTGCTACTAACTGAACTCTAGAACCTATGTCCTGACTCCCACTACTAAGTGAACATAGAACCTATGTCCTGACTCCTGCTACTAACTAGAACATAGAGCCTATGTCCAGAGCCCTGCTACTACCTGAACATAGATCCTACTTCCTGAGTCCTGCTACTAACTGAACAGAAAACCTATGTCCTGAGTCCTGCTACTAACTGAACATAGAACCTGTGTCCTGAGACATGCTACTGACAGAACATAGAACCTATGTCCTGAGTCCTGCTACTAACTGAACATAGAACCTATTT